AGGCAATATGCATTCATCTGGAATTGCGGGCTCAAAAATATTGCAATCAAATTTAAGGACCAAAAACATAGCAGAAAGTCTTTATTTACATAACAAACGCCATATTTTAAACTAAATCAGCAGCTTTCGTAATGGCAAGGAATAATCTCCTCAACCCATTTATTTAAGAAAAAGACTAAGTGTTGAATTTTGCTTAAGCCAGTGCTAGGTGACATGGACGGTAGCTTGCAATTACCACTACCATCCGTGAAACTGAACCAGCAACATTTGCAATTTTGCCGTGATGGGCTTTCTTTAGGTTTCTGTTTTTCTCTATTTTACTATTTATAAAATATATTGCTAGTCTGTATTAAACATATTCATTACGAAATATTTTACATTAACATTTTATTTGCAAATAATTGTATAAAATATATATTTATAATCTGAAACAATTACATGTATGTTTGGTGGTTGTATGCAATATATATTACATATTATAACGTATACTTTTGTTGTTTCTTTAAATAAAAACATTCGGAACATGTACAGATCGCAATTATTAACTGTGATAGAGTGTCATGTAACATTTATATTGTCTTCCATAATCCCGAATTGTCCACTAGTTTTATTATATTTATCACGGGCGGTTTATAATCAGTCGCTTTCAAAAGTACAAAATGTAATGGCCGTGAATTTGTGCATAGATGTAACAAAGTCGTCCAATTTGTATAATTATTTTCATAATTGGTAGTCATACAAATCAAACACAGCGAAGTTAAATCTCTGACAACAAAGTAAGAAATGTCTGAATATGTTTATTTTAACGCTATAGACAAAATATATTTTTGGATTATGCCGTAGTGGAGTGAAACGCTTTAAGATACAAGGAATACAACAACAGAGACCAAAAAATGACAAAAGTTTCGCAAAACTCTCGTATGTATATATTATAGAACTGATGGTTATAACGTTACTCACGATTGAATATGAATATATATTTTTCAATAAAATCAATAAAAACAAATCTCTTGGATTATGAACATTGGCAACAATTTAAACTTTCATCAGTTAGAAAATTTAACGTTTTTTACAAAGCCCTTTTTAGAACATTTGTGAGAGCGTGCATTCTTTTTTATAACTTGTATTATCATAATGCTTGATGCAGGTAGAAGTTAATTTTACAGATATATCCGTGTACGGTGTTCCGTTTATACATCATGTCTTCGCAACGACAAGCACTGATGTACCTAGAAACGCCATAATACCTAATAGAAAACCGTTGGTCTCTCTTATTACATTGTCGCACCACATACGCAAAAATAAACATTATCATAAAGGTTCATTATCATGAATAAAGTATAATTTTGTATAATGAAAATTGTATTTCGTTTTGTTCAAGGAATCTATGAGAAATCAGAACTGACCACAAGAGAAGTAAGGTTAAATGCAATATTTCACTAAAATGATATTGATATCTTTTGATAAATAAAGATAACTTTTCTATATCGACGTTTCGAGGTTTACTCGAAGACAAATGTTTATGGATATATTTCGCAATCAATCTGATATTTGATCTTTTATCTGTTATTTGCTGTCATATCACGTGTATATTACTAAAACTCGCCAAATGCGCTTTTATTGAAATTTTCCCGAGCTCGTTTAGGAAATGTTCTACGAAATAACAAACAATAACGATATATCATATTAAATTATTTCAGATTTATGCTTTTGCGCTGGTTTTGTCGTTTTGATGCGAAATAATTCAGGGATACGGTCTTCGTGGTCAATTGCTACGCATCAAAACTCCAAACATGTGTTAAACAGACGATAAACAGACCGATATTATTTCTTAAGTAAATGCTGCACTCGACTTTTTATAGATTCAAACATTATACTGTTTATAAATTGTGTAGTAATAATGTATACTATCCTGTGACAAATGCAATGCTTAATGTTTTTGAACCCATCTACGGATGTTTTGAAATTCAAAGTTTCACCATTTTTATATTTAAATGTCGAATTCTGTGTAGGCCGGTGCCAAGGGGGCATGGACGGTAATATGTACTTTCCAGTATCATACATGAACAGGCTTAATAAATCCGAGCCTGCAACATTTTAGATTTTGTCGTTTTGGCGTTTCTTTAGGGATTCTGTTTTCTCTAATTTATGTAGGTTAAGAACTTTAAACTGATAATTAATTGAAACTATCTGCAGTGGACACTATCATTCTTGTAGGCTTAAGATTTTTTTAACAAGAAAAGCACTCTTTTTATAAATATATGGTCGGAAGGATCGGTGACTATAATGGTGTAAGCCGGTGCTACGGGCGCGAGAGTTGTTGCACTTTTATGTTATCTCTCATGTACAAACTTAAAAAATGTAATATTGTTGATTTCAATGCTTCCGAGAGATTACCTCTTTTCTAGATTTTTATAACAATCATAGAAAACCTGTTTGCAACTTTAAAACATTTAAGTAAGCTGCGGGTAAAACATGTGCTTACTGTTGAGCCAAAGTATCTCTACACTCTCGATAATTTAAATGCAGTGATAATCGTCTTAACAGCATATTAAAAACATAGGTGCATATTTTTGTGAAACAGAAGTGATAATTGGAAACAAAAAATACAAAAGACCCCCTGTGTGGTCAAGAGAAACTTTAATTCGAAACAATGATTGCAAATTCTTTTTATTCTAATTGACCAATTTTATTTTCAAATGACTTGTCATTTTTGTCAAAAACTGTGCTATTCTCAATTGGCCTAATGAGAATGTGAAAGGATTGATATCAAAAGTAAACTTTACAAGCATGACGCACAACATCTTGTTTCACCGTTGTTTTGATAATAAGTCTTTTTGACATATTAAAAATGCAAATGAAATCTTATATGTCATGCACCTGATCTGAATCTCTCTGATTATTTTTGAGTTTCTATTCATTTTTAATGTACAAATTAAAGCTAATAAAACATATACTGTGCCCAATGCTTTATATATGTTGTTAAGTACGAACAATATCACATGGACACCTATGGCTCCTCGTCAGGTGTTCTATATAATGTGCAAAAATATTACATGAACACCTTTGAATTGTCAGGCGTTATCAAACATATCAAAATAACATCATATTCATCGCAATATCTTTTAATAACTCCCTTTCATTGGCGAATCTTTATCATAATTCAATATCGCATGTGCTATATGATATTATCTAACTCTTATTTCACTGAATGTCTACGAAAACAATGTTGTCATTTTATATCACCTTTTATGTGTATTACACGCTGATTATATTCTTCGGTTATGATACATAACCGCTATCATAAATCTTTGTTGACAAATCTTTATGACAACGCGTTCCGGTTTCAATAAAACAAAATCTCTAGATAATAGTTTGCTGATAGAACACATGTTCACAATTTGCGTTGTTGTAACATATTATTATGTGTAACGAGATACTGAAAGGATGAATAACCATAATCAACGAATAAGCATTAACAATTCTATATACTCAAAAGATTAACGAATAGTGGTTGATGCTTGCATATACTCAACATTCTTTTTTCATGACTATGAGAGCAAAACTCAATTACATATTCAAAACATGTTAATATTTGAAAGATATATAATAACATACCTTTCTCATACGAGAAAACTATTTTAAGCATAATTTGTATTCATACTCTTCTATTTCTACAGTATCTACATAACAAACATTTCCTTTAAACAACAGTAAAAAACACACGCAAAGTGGCATGCATATAAAATATGTGATAATCGTTGAAAAAGAAAGTGTATGGAAAAAATGACAAAGTTATCAATTCTAATTATCATGATTCAAATAGATTAAAAAATAAATAACGACAACGAGTAGTTCAAGTAATTTAATGGAATCATAAAAGACATATTAGAGGCAAGTTTAAAAGCAGCAATTATAATGAAACCACATTCATATCATTTTAAAAAAATTCATAGATGCTAAAATGCACATTATGCCTCAGAAACGAATAAATGTTTACTTTTTAAGAAAGGGAAACATCTGTTTATGTCAGATACTTGTCATCCAAAGAAAGTAGTGTTAGTTTGATATTTGTATTGTTGAACATTTCGTCGATTACTTGGGGTGATTTAAACTTGTTTTAAATTTTGAATGCATGTAAGCACGAATAAACTTGATGAAATATAAAAATGCTGAAAGGTCTTGAACAGATAACATTTAGTTATAAAAACTAAAAATAAACTAAGCAAAACGAGCATAAAAACGTTTGCCAAGCATTACACTAGTATACAATTCACAATATTGTCATATTTGTTCGTTTGAGTATGTGTATGCGTGCGTGTGTGCGTGCGTGAGTGCGTGTTTGTGTGAGAGTGTTTATTTTAACAACAACAACAACAAGAGGAGCGCACAAATGCAATTACCTTGTCATTTTGTCGCTTTATGTATTTCTTTTATAGTTTTCGAAAAATACTTCTCCACCTGTCTCCTTTGTTCTAAAAACACCCAAGAACTTCTTCAACTTCCTCCCTTTCATTAACTATACGTATTCTTGAACAAATTTGTGAAAAAAACAGTTCAGCTCCATTTGCATTTTCGCAAGTTTTATCAGTATTTAAATGTCAAATCTATCAATGAATTCCCGAAATACTTTATATCTGATGACTTTTTAAAAATGTTATTTTCAATAATCAGGTTTGGAAATTCTTTTCTCTTCAATGTATTTATATACAGTCGAATAATTCTTGTATATAAACTATCTGTTACCAATTTTTATCAATCTCTATCATTTTGTGTGGTTAACGCCTCTTTAACGAGGAATTGGCTGATTGTTTTATGAACCACATATTTATCTTCCCTTTTCCATGTATAAATGATTATTTGCTAATAAATTAATTAATTCGTGCCTCAATTTCTTGGAATAATTCCTGTCTGCGCCTTATTATTATCTCTCATATGAGCTAAGCAGTGACGTTTTGACTTGTAATTAATCAAATGAAAACAAAACAAAACTAGAATTGCTAGACGATAAAGAATGCTTTTCGTTTTTCGGTGTTCTCGATATTTTGGTTACTTGTTAATTTTGTCGATTTCTTTTCGAGACGCTTAACTACATTTTCCGTTTCCACGTGCTGATAAAGTATAAGAAAATGGTTGGCAAATATCGGCACGGTAAGGGCGAGTAATAGAACACCAACAACTGCGCAAATACACGCCAACAACCTGCCAATCTTGGTTCTCGGCTCGATATCACCGTATTCAACGGTTGTCATGGTAATGACAGCCCAGTACCAGGCGTCTGGAATACTCTCAATTGTAGTTTTCTCTTCGACGATGTAAAAGCAACTCGCAAAGGTACACATTCCGGCAATTAGGAACAATATCAGTATGGTAAGGTCTTTGACATTTTTGCGTGCAGAATAGGCAAGAACTTTTCCTGCTCGAATATTTGCAACGATTCTGAACAGACGAAGGGATCTCAACATCTGAATATAAGCTAAACTATCTATCCAGGAGTTACCGTAGCGTAAGTGAGGGTATTTGTAGTATAGGATTAAGTGAAGATACGCGCCAATCAACGCTGTTCCGTCTGCGAAGTTGATTATCGACATAAAGTAAAACATTATACGTGGACACGAGTACAAGCGTAAAATGGTGTCGACCGTAAAGAAAACGTTTGAAACAGACGCCATTATGATAAGGATAAATAGTTTGGCTTTCATATCTGGGACTTTGACGTTTTTTAATTCCATGAACATTTGTGGAATAGGTACGTCTAAGGCAAACGGCGACATCCGAAGAAATCTAAATGTAAATGTTGCGTTTAAGTCATCGTATATTTCTGATCCAGGAATGACTGTTTCATTTTCATCAACAGTTTCATAAAATGTAGGTGGTCTGATAGATGACTGCTCGTTTTACGAACGTAGGGTTTGATCTACAAAAGAGGTTTTTTTGGGGGAATCTTTAAACCCCATTTTTAACCTTGAAATCACTTTCAATCTTTTTTCGTTATCAGTTTGGGAAGGGAAAAAAAATTTCTGGAAAACCAGTTTCATTTGACATTTCTTTTACCGAGTTCCCTTGGGGTAGAAACTGGGTGAAACAAAATTTCCCCTCCAAAGACATTGAAAAAATCAATTCTCATACCCTTTCCCCATTTTTCAAAATTGTTTTTCCATATACTCCAAAGGGGGGGCTCCCCTTTTGGTTTTCTATTGCCCCTTTAAAAAATTTCCGGATCTGGGGGCTGTATCCCAAAAGGGGAAGATTAAAAGGGAAAATATCATAAAAATAGTGCAAACCAAAGTATATTTCAGAGACAAAATTTTTTTCTTTTACTTATACCACTTTATTTTTTTTAAGATTGCAGTAAAAGCCCAGGCGGTCTTAGAAAGGAAAAATTCGACATTTTGAAAAATGGCCCGGAATGCGAGGTTTTAAAATTGGGGAAACATTTTTTTTTTACCCCTTTTTTTAATTTTTGTTTTAACCTTTTTTTGGTACTTTTTTGTTCTAACGAAAAACCTAATGGGAAATTTGGGGGAAAATTCCCTTTTGATTCGAAAAAAATTTTGAATTAAAAACAACCCTAACAAGGTTAAAAAAAGGTAAAATTTTTTTAGGCGGGGTTTAACTTTGTGCCCTTATTATATAAAAAGGTGCGGCTGAAAATTTTAACCCCTTTAAATCTTTAATCCGGTCCCCACTT